TGTGTGTGTGTGTGTGTGTGTGTGTGTGTGTATATATATATATATATATATATATAAATGGTTTGCTAGAATTGTATTAATGTATTGATAAGGATAAGAATAGAAAATCAATTAGTAGAACTCTTTCATTTCTAAAACGTAAATTACTTTCCCACTGACTATATATCTATTCATTGAGTAGGAAGATCATTTGTAAAAATTTTAAAAATGGATTTTTGGGGGGAGTTATTGAGGCATTACTCCTTTCTATTGACTGTGGAATGAACAACAGAAAAAAATGTTTAAAGAGACTTTCACACTGCAGCAACTTTGAAAGGAATGACAGCAGTTTCAAAGCCACTAACTAAATTACACAATCAGTCATTTTCTGGGAGCCAATTGCAAATATTTGTGCGCAGATAAGAGATGTCTTCCCCCCCCTCCCCCTCTACTTGGGTTGTGTATGTAGCTGTGTAACACGTATGGTTTTGATTTCTGTGTTGTGCATCTTTGCATTTCTTGGGGTCTGATTTTCTGTTGCCCTGGATCTTGTGCAGTCATTTACACTGGGGCCAAGTGGGTGTAAATTTCTTTCACATCAGAATGTTAGCATTTTACATCCGCTCGGCCGTCATTTTTCACTGCTGTAAATGAATATGCAATGTGCAGCGCAACAGAGAATCAGGCTCCTAGAATCTGGAGACAGCTGTTACTTTGGGACCTCTACTGAGGTTCTTGTCCTTTAATCCACTGAAGATCAAAAATCGTGTGTGTGTGTCTCTGTGTGTGTTTGTCTGTATAATCTGCCCTCCTAACCATTCACTTAGCTGTAGCTGGCAGTCTGGAAAATGACCCAGTTCCAAGTCTGATGTGATCGACTGTCCCCCATTCCCTCTCTGCCCCTTCCTATGAAAGTCCCTCTGTGTATAACCAAATATCAGGACAGGAAATCAATTTCTGTAACATATGCTGCTGTATGCGTATCAGTTCTGCGCTGAACAGCCAATCCTACAGAGGGGAGACCTATTGCTCTAGGTACCTCATGTCAGCGTACAGCGAAATGCCTTGTCTGTATCCATTTAAATTCAAGACTTCAGCAACCTGGAACAGATTTTCTCAAGGTTGCCCAGAGCAAGAACTGTAGTTCTGGGAGCCTGTAGGTCTCTTCAATGACTTGTCTGTTTAAAAGGGTTGATTTAAGTGGACAACTTTACCAGTGTGTGCCCTTTACATGGGGATTGCTGGAAAGCCATGTGTCTGGCTCTGCCACTGATTCTGTAATATTGGATAAGTCTGGTGATAAAGGAACTAGGTCTGTAAAATGAGAATGAAAAGGGGTATTGATCTCTCTCTCAGAGGTGTTGTGGGGCTTTAATTGGTGTTAGTAAAGTGTTTTGCTGGTGGTAAATGCAATATAATAAATGTACTGCATGTTACTAACATTGTCATTGCATTATACTGCATTATACATTGTTTCTTTTAAAGGGACTCTGTCAAATTAGTACAGGCCCAAAATGAAAGTTTAGTCATTGTGTGTATATATAATATTTTCATGACATGAAAAAAAATAACCACCCATCTCCATGAAAACAGGATTATTTGAGTTAAACCTTCCCCTGTGTGCTGGTAACCACTGGAATTAGTGGATACTGACTTCAGTCCTGTAACAGGGCCCTGATTCAACAAGGTACTTAAGCACATTCCTAACTATAAGCATTTGAGTAGAAAATAGGCATATGCTTCAGTTAGGCATGTGTGTAAGTACCTTGCTGAAGGGAGAGGTAGGGGGCTCACTTTGTAACCCTCATCCAAATCATATAACTGTATACAGGAAATAAAAGTTCAGCCTCTCACCAGCATGTCTATTACACCCTGCAGTGTTGGAAACACAAGATCATTAAATATGGGGGTGAGTGAATGAAACGGACTAGAAGCAACAGTGAAACGGAGCAGTCTTGCATCACTGTCCAAGATGAATAGGATTACTGAGATCAGATTTGCTCATGCCAGTCATCCCACTGATGTCAGTGGGTTTACGTGTGTGTATAAGGACTGCTCCTGTGAGTTTGCCAGCTTGGCCTCCTAGCTAACGCTCACTTCATGGAGCTATAAGGTACTGCACATGGGAGGAAGCATTGGTTCCTCAATTTGTTTTGATGAAACATTTCAGCTTTCAACATTTGTTTTAAACTAGTGACGGATTTTTTTAAAGAAGTTGCTACATTGCCTGGCAATTTGGTAATGTATGTTGTGTGCCAAGCCAAGCATCCTGCTAGGCTAGGCTGAAAGCTCTCTGAGGCTCTATCCCACTATCTTTTGATGCCTCATCCCTTTAGGATCCTTTGACAAGGGGCCGGGGCTAACTCATGGAGAACAGGGGTTTAAAAAGCCAGTTTCTAATCAACCAGAGGAGCTAGCGTCCAGGGGAGTTTTGCAAGGGAGTTTAGAGAGGGAGCTTGAGAGCCAGATATACCTAGCAAACATATTCTAAACTTAGGCCAATAACCATTTCCCAAAGCCCCCCACAAAGGACAAACAGACACACACACAACCCCCCCCTGCAAGAGTAAAAAAAGAATGCAGGCAGAAGTCCAGCAGCGGAGTGGGAGCTAATCTAGTTTATTGCACTGAATGCAGCGTGTACGATTACCTGCCCTGTGGGCAGGTGGCATATGTGTGCATGCGGTGCAAGCAACTCATAGCCCTCAGAGATCGCATATGGGCTCTTGAGACCATTATAGGACTATTATAGGAGCTAAGGGAGACAGAGAGGTACATGGACAAGATTTTCAGGGATACACTAGCGCAGTTCCACCCCAGTTTGACAGCCTCTGTGCTGTGCAGGAGGATGGAAGTCTCAGGGACGGAGAACATGAAGCTGGAGTGAAGGGAAACAATCCCATAGTTGGGACCCTCCTTCCAGATGATGTCATGGTATTCTCTCGCACTGAGGATATGGGGACCCCAATTATTAGAAAGATACCCAGGTAATAGTAATGGGGGATTCAATTATTAAAAAGATAGTTGGGTTGGTGGTGACCGCTGGATGTGAAGGTTGAGAACCTCTTGAGACATCTAGATAGACTTATTTGCAGTGCAGGGGGAGATAGGAGGGATGAAGGTGGTCTTGGTAAATGTAGGTACTAATTACATTGGGAAAGGTAGGAGAGAAGTTCTGGAGCCCAAATTTAGGCTGCTACATAAGAGATTAAAGTCCAGGACTTGCATGGTAGCATTCTCTGAAATGCTTCCATTTCCATGCGCAGGGCCAGTTAGACAGGCAGAACTGCAGGGTCTCAATGCGTGGATGAGACAATGGTGTTCAGAGGAGGGATTTAGTTTATTAGGAGCTGAGGAACCTTTGGGGGAAGGAGAAGCCTATGCAGGAAGGAGGAGCTCCACCTAAACCAAAACAGAACCAGATTGCTAGTGTGTAAAATTAACACGGTTGTAGAGGAGTTTTTAAACTAAAGTCTGGGGGAAAGCCGACGGGTTCGGACAGACACGTCCCTTAGGAGAGGATTTATTAAAGGGGATACTCTCTCAACTTCTGTCTTCTCCT